TGACTATAACTTTAAATAGCTGTTATACTTTCTTAGATATTGAATACTTTGAGTATCTATTTTTAAACGTACCCCTTAACATAATAATAATTTATATTTTTACTTATATCTGATTTAAACAAAATAATAAATATTTCCTTTTTTTTATCTCTTCATATTGATTATTGAAAATTGTAATAATTCATTATGCTTAACAAAAAAATTGATTTCATTACTTTATATACACAAATATACTTTATAATTAAAATACGCATTGATTCATATTTGTCCCGGTAAATGTAATGTATAATGTGTATACATTAAATGGCATATCCAAATCTATTTATATCTGTTATATATTTATCGTTTATTCATTCATATATAATTAACCATCAATATATGAATATAATATGCATGCAATCATTTATCTATCATATCACTATCATCCTATTTATTTTATACCTGATTACCTATTGATAGTGTTTTCAAAAGTTTAGTTATTCTCATCTAACAAGTTGTAAATTAGGATTTATTAATCATAAAATGGTCAGTATAATCTAATCATTGACCTTGCTTATCACTATGTTAAGTTCGAATATCTGAGACTCATCTTTCGGAATTCAATCTATGAACTTTTAGGTCTGGTGATGATCAGATCATAAGTCAGCCACCAGGTTGAAGTTTAATAGTCCAGAAGTGTTTTTTTTCTTCAAATAGTAACAATCTTTTCATACTAAGACTAGATATCCAGTCCCCAGCCTCAATCTGGTTTCTCTTCACAGGAGAGTGGGGGTGTGATATCTACCTAAAACAACCATCTTAAAGTAGATCACTATTAACTATTTGAATATTGTCTAAGGTGAAGAGTTGAAAAGTCTCATACTTCAAGGAAACAAGTTTTTAACACTGTCTCATTTTGATTAGTACTGGAAATCATAAAGGTCTATAAAGAACAACCCTTAAAAAATTCTCCACATAAGTAAAGTTATCCAATATATTGTAAAACTAACCCTTATTTCATAATAGTTTTAGTTGCAAAAAGATGTATTCTTCTGAAGATTTCTTAATGCTTAGTTAAGGAAGTAGTCAATGAAATCAGTTACCAAGAAACCTGTACTCTTCAGATTCACCCAATTTAAAAGTTTCAATAATTTTCGGTTTCTGTTGACAGGTGGACTTCTTTACAGATACTGGATATTCATAATGTTGTATTCATCTTGGCTATTCACAACATGGAATCCAGGATGCACGTTTCATCTTATTTGAGACTCGCCATCTGAATGTACCAGCACCCTAGTGAATGATGTTCAGCAGGAAGTTACAAGTATCAAACAACAACAAAATGATACCTGTTGCACAAATGGTGGCTCTCATACCCCAATGGGAACAACATAACTCAATGGGGTGCGGGAACATCCACCTGACGAGTCTTAAATAGGAGAAAATGCTCGTCCTGTATTCCATTGCGAGTCATTAAGATGAATAAAGGATAGAAAGAATCTAAATTGCTGAATTGGCTGAAATGCAAAACGTTGAAAATCGATAGATTGATAATAAAAATCTTAACTCACACTGAATTTCAGTTTAAGTCGACGAACATTTCAATATTACAACTGGATATTGTCATCGTTTAGACTGATGATAATCCTTGAATTTTTATCAACAGGAAAGATTAGAAAGTGAATGAGTCCAATACCAACTTGAAATTAGTAAATCTCCATAGAACTCCAAACTGATTTACTATCTAAAACTGTAATTGGTTGTTTCAATATTCAATGTAAGGCAAAATTTTACCGAAATTTCACTCCTTTAAACAATCTAATAAAAGTGGGAATTTTATTTAGTTGACATCTTATTGACTATTTATTATTGCATGAATACATTTTTGTTTCCAATTACTTTTGTAATGCATGTGAGGTACAGTTACATTTTCATAATCGGTAAATCTCATTAAAAGTCTTTCAATTATTTTCATGAAATTAATCATTAAAACAAAGTTGTGTAAAATATACCCTTCACTAAAACTTAAAAAATTAGGCATATTTTCTGTGTTCTGTATGAATACTTTACCTATTTGGATGGATTTCGCAATGCCGTCTGTCACCGAATTATGTTTCATACTGTGTGTTCATTCATGTGCAGAGTATTGGCTGCATTTTCATTTCTTAGACGGAAGATAAGTACAGTTATTCATCATGAATAATGTTTATAGATCACAGAGAGTTAGTTGAGGCTTCAAATTGCATACAGAAAGGATTTATGACAGCAGTTTTTATGTCAGAATATATGCATACAGAACACAGAAAATACACATTTTCATACAGGACGCTATAACACTGGGACGACTTTTAGCCTCACTCCTGATTGGTTATCTCAGCAACTGCCGTATTAACCAATCAGGTTTCAGTACTCCGCCTAGGAAGGTAGTTTTTCATAAAATATAGAAGTCTAATCGATAATCTCAGCAGTTGTTAGAGTAGCCTTTAATGTCACTCGAAGCATGGTTCTGTGTTTAGTTCAACTTATCGCTAACATGCAAGAGAGACGGATAGGTGGACAGACTGAAACGTCAAAGTAAAACTTTTAACAAAACCTACATCTTCCAACTCCGAGTCAATTCACGATATAGCGTAACTATCACCCAAGGTCTTCAGTTGGTATCCACTTCTCTTCCAACTGATTGACCGCACATGTCACGGTCTCTCATAAGAACTTCATAATATCTATCTGGAAGCACATTATCAATGAGCACTATGCAGTAATGTATTTTTGGGATGAATGGCGATTTTTAATTTAGAGGTAGTATTCATCACGGACCGACATCAGTTGTGGAACCATCGAAAATCTAATGAGAAGCCATGACCTGTGGGGTCAACCATTCGGAAGGGAAGTGGATGCCAACTGAAGACCATGGGTGATAGTCACGCTATATCGTGAATTGACAGAAGTTGGAAACTAAACCACTGAAAACCGACCCACTGGCTGAATGCTTAACGCGTTCGCCGTGAAACCTGAAGGTCCTGAGTTCCACCCCTAGCCGGGTCGTGGGTGCATACTGCCGAGGAGTCCCATACTAGGACGAAACAGGTGTCCAGTTCTCCCAGATTTTCAATGGTTCCCTAACTGATGTCAGTCCATGATAAATACTACCTCTAAATTAAGAGTCCTCATTCATCTCAAAAAAATCTACATCTGTTTAAGTTGCCACACTTGAAAACGGTGAATAAAAAGCAAGTGAACATGAATAGAATCTACTCAGTGTAATGAGAAGACGATGATCATCTATATTAGCGTTATACATTTTGAACAGTCTGAGCACATATTGACTTGACAAGTTAGTTATGTGAAAATTTACTAAAGCGGTCAGTTAAGTCAATGTGAAACATGAGAAGAGGTAAAGCAGATATTCTTCGTCTTCTCAGTAAGCTGTATAAACTTAGTGAGGCTTTTCAATAAACAGAATTCTAATAAAAGAAATAAAAAAAGACATTAAGCTTGAAAGAACAAATAGATAAAGATTGCTAATTGTGACAAAGAAACAACACATCCGTTGTATGACTCTGAGTCTTTAACCATTAACTTGTGTCGTGGTGAAGATCTCAGTGAGGAGGTCTACATTGCCCTACACACCTTCGACTAATAATCGAGTCCCTTATCTGAATACAATTTGCTTTCCTGCATACTAATACTATCTCAGCTAAATTTACCCTTTGAGGTAGACTATGGCTTAACATGCAAGATGTATGACCCAACCACCTCATAACCTCATTGACTGGTACTTCTTTGTTCAACATTATGTTTAACTTCGGCAATTCCCATTTTGTAGTTCCATCACACACAAACAATGATTCTAGAGTATGTTGAATTGAGAACCTGTAAACTCTTGACATTAACCAACAAGTATTGGTTGTTTAGACAATCAATTTATGATGTCATATCATAATAACAAATTATTGAGTTAATTCTTTCAAAGATCAGTTCTAGTTGAAAATGTAAACTTATCATCATCATTATCAACATAGGACCAGGCATTACTGCGTAACGGTTCGAGTTGCCACACCTCATATCAGCACATCAAATAAAAAGGTAGTGAGGTAAAGGATGAAGATAAGTGAATGCAGTCAAAAGAAATATAAAGTACGAGAAGGAAGGAACGAAGAGTGAGAAAATAGTCAGGTCCGGTATAGCGTTGTTAAGATGAGGATAATGTGTGTATACATCTGCGCCACTGACTTCGGTTCTGAGCCATATCACCTAGGGTCTCCAACCACTGGTTCCTCTTATCCCGTGGACCCCAACCACCTAGTCTGCATAGCCCCACATGGCTTAGACCAACAGTCAGAGACTTCATACATTGGTGCCATGTTTTAGTCTGGCCACCTCGGGCCTTTTTCCAGCCTGGACCCACCTCAGCCAACATTGTGTGATGAGGCAATCGGTGACTAGGCATACGTAACACATATCACAACCATCTCAATCGATCAAGGTTCATGACCTCGTCAACTGATTTACCTCTTCTCCCCAAAACTCTACACCTAACTTCTGCATTACTCACATGGTGACACCACGGAATACGTCCTATACTACAAAGGCAATGGTGGTCAAACACCTGAAGCCTTTTGTATCCTCCACTTTCAATGGCCATGTTTCACAGCCATACAGTAGAACATAGCGGACTGCTTTGCAGTACACGCGACCTTTAAATGTAAACTTAACAAAATATATATAACGTTATCGATTGAATATTGCTCAACTACTCATAGTTAAACGTAACAGATAGATTGCAAATCTAAGATACACTTGAGACTATAGGTAATCTTTGAAAAAGACATGTCATATATAACCATACAATTTAATGTCTACTGCATGCAGTCATCTTTTATGATTAGATTACTATTTGGTTTTCTTCTTGTGTTTATTCATTTGTTGTTTAGCATGTTCATATTTGCATACTGATTTAGGTGGTGAATATAAAGAGGTTAATCTTCTAGTAAATCTTATCATCTTTTCATTCATTCTAGGTTGAAGTACACATTTTCAACAATTTAGAACCGAAACCAATACCACCCAAACATATGGCATTGTATATTGGATTGGCAGTATTTGGTGGCTTATTACTTTTATCTATTCTAGTTATAATACTTTACAAGGTGAGTAGAATATTATTATATTTTTGGTATAAATTTGAAAACAAGTCACACAAAAAAAGCGGTGACTGTAAAGGTCACCCTGACAACAGCTGTAATAACTAATCAAGTTTCGATATTCCGGCCAGAAAGGTAGTTTTTTTATAAAATATTAAAATCTAATTGGTTATTGTAGCAGTTGCTAAGGTGGCCTTTAAAGTTATGCTAAAAAAGACAGACATTTTGACGCAAGTATACGTGTATTACATGATGAAATTTCGATTCATTGGTTTAGACAATTCACTTGGAGTGAGCGATGCCTATTTCTGTGAGGGTTAATGATACTTACTACCTGCTTGTCTATACCTAAGTATGTGGAATGAGGCTGGAAGTCGTGACCTATCATCAGCTGGAAGTTGAGAGTCTAGACCAATGAATATATAACTTTTAAGAAGTTAGTCATTAGGCTCCAAAGCCTCAGTAGTCACGGAGAATAATTCACAATTAGACATTATCACCAACCCCTACATAATGCCTATGGTTCATAGTCTAACATTCTTAATAGTATGTAATTACTCACCGGTACGTATACAATAGAACTAAACAAAAATGGAAAGGGTACCTTCGTCGAACAAAGAAAGTAAATCATTTCTGAACATGTTCATTGTTTTGGGGGTGTTAAATACCTTCAGGCAGAAATCGCAATTCTACCTACCTTTTATACATTTTATTTTTATTTTATTGAAAATGGATTCAATATCTTGACTTTTAACTTATTGGTAATGTCTCTGAACACAGCAATGAATGGAAGAGATTCAAATCCCAGAAGAAATACCTATTTCCGTCGTCGTCGTCGTCGTAGATATACCTTGTTGATGAGTTTTGATGTTTAGAGCTTGCTAATGATTGACTCTTGACTACGAAAATCATAAACAACTATTAAGGACTAAGTGATGTTGAACTGTTGTTTTATCTTCCTTAGTATTTCTTCAGAATCATTTACCATCGATCACTTCCATAAGTAAAAGGAGATATTCAGTTCACTAATACATGACTTTATTACATGAAGCCATAAATCTTGATTACTGAATTCCAACATAAACATTTAACGGTAATATGCTCATTTTAAAGTCATACAGTTCTATGTATACAGTCATGAAAGTTGACAGTATATCCACACGAAACAATAATAAAGTAGCCATTCATTTCTGATTGGTTTTGAATGATTCCTTCAATGACATGAATTCATGATTGAAACCATCTACAAAGTTTAATAATAGTAAGAAAAGTTCCAATACAAATTATTTTGTACACTTAATATCTATTCAATCGGTTCACTTCACGATTTCATTAATCCTTGCTACACTAATATCTCCTCTCTGTATATTATGAATATATCTGTTTAAACATGAAGTGGCTATCGTAACCTAATAGCCCAATGGATGACACTTTAGCGTTTAGAGTCTCATTGAGAATAACAATAGTCATTTGAAGGCAATTATGTACAACTGACAAGTTCTAAATAGGTTGAAACATGAGTCTTAGCCACTATTCATCCTTAATATTATCTGTATGTGTTTATGTGTTATGACAACACCTATTCAATGTTATTTGAGCTAATCATCATTGAAGATAAAAGACTGGTTCTCGGTGAATTAATTTAACTCAGTTGATCGAAGCAATACTTGGTTCTTAGCTGGATTTATTCAACGGATAAGTTTAGCTGAAAATGGGCTGTTCAGTTAAAGAAGCCTGAAGACGAGTTTGCCGTTTAGTCATATTGGTTGATTAATTGCAGTAAAATAAAGCTTTTGATTTAGATATATTGCATTTACTTCTACTCATAAACTTTACTATTCAACCACTTTAATTATTATGTTTCTATCAATATTTAAGGCTGGTTTCTTCAAACGGAAACGTTTTCTACGCAGACGAACAAAAACACCTACTACTACTACTACTACTAGTACTGATCAACCTCAAAGACTTGGTCAATATGTTTCAGCAGAACCAAGTCAGAAACAACCATTAATTTCATCAGTTCGACCGAATTACCATGACAGTAAGCAAAGTAGATCAGGGATAGGTTATCATCAAGTACCTATGAATTCACAAGAACCAGTTTATCGTAGAACACCTTATTCACCTTCATCGGATTTTCCAATTTCACATACACGATGATATGCACAATGATTGTAGAGTTGTTTTGTTTGTTTTTTTCTCAATTATTTTCTAATCCGTTGCCTTTCACAAAAAAAATGCAAAAACTTCATCACTGATGATGACAACAGTAACAACGAAAGTAAGATTGATTATATGTTCCTCTGATGCTGCTGTTATATTGTAGTTGAGACTTTCTTTTTTTTTCTACAGAATGCTTTTCTACTTGCTTTGTTCGTTTATTCTTTTTCCTTGCGTACTTAACCTATTTCATTTTACTTACTCAACGATTTTCTGAATGTGTCAGACAGTCAGCTGAGTTAGTCAGTCAATTAGCCAACGAAATAACTAACCTCTTGTTCTCAGAGATAATATCCTTTTTTTCTTTACTGCCTTTATACATACAACTTATATATATACAGAAATATATTTGCTAACTATGCATATAAATTAAGCTGATTTTGTTAACTCTTTCAGTTTTCTAAACAGTTGTATCATATCAATACCACTACTGCTACTAATTAATGATAATAGTAGTAATTAACCTATGCTGAATTATTATATCTTTCCAGTGTACAAATATGCAAACACAATATTTATGATCCAGTGTAACATAATATTTTTAGCTTCATTTTTTTTACAAAAAAAGGTTTAATTTGCAAAGGAGATATACTTTTTCTGTGTGTATTAAAAGAATTAAAAATAAGTACGAATGGAATAGGTGTACACAAGTTCAAATGTAGTCAACTATGAGAACTATGCTAAATAATACTGGACAAATCTTCCAGTTGAAGTAGATAGAACTACTTTCTACTTCATGATTTGTTTTATCTAGATTATTTCAAGTTGTTATCGTAGACTGACATCAGTTGGAGGAACGAAGGAAACCTGGGAGCACTGGACAGCTGTTTCATCCTAGTATGGGACTCCTCAGCAGTGCGCACCCACGACCCCACCAGCAGGGATCGAACCCGCGACCAGCGCGTTACCATTGAGCCACTGGGTCAGAATCCAATGCTTCATATTTCCAACTTCTGTTAGCTCACGATATATAGCGCTAACCGCCACTCAATGTCAACGCTGAGTATCTGTGCTCATGGCCATCAGGCTTTGACTCCACCGGTCACGACTTCTCATTGGAACTTCGGGAATACTTCTCGAAGCTAGTCACCAATGAGCACCAGTTCAATTAAATTTTGAGGGAGTTGTGGAGATTTGGAATTATTTCAAGTTGTTATTCATCGTAGACTGACACCAGTTGGAGGAACAAAGGAAAACAAAACTTGATACTATTGTATAACGATCCAACTTACTATACTTAAATTTCTCACGATATAAGCCATGAGAAAGTGTCGACCATGTGCATACCTCTCTCACTATTTCACTCCCCTTTGATCAACATCACTTAGCATTACTTTCAGCTGGAATAAATTCTATTTTCTGGCAGTTCTTTGGAAACATTTGTAAAATGTTGGTATTCAAAAACATATTCTTCCCGATCACTGAAATCAAAGCATACACAAACAAAAACGATTTGCTGCATCATTTGAGAACCATTGAGGAAAGGCATACTGGGAGGGAATTCTTCTTTTTCCTCTTCTTTGTAGTCATTGGCTTTCAGACTGCTAAGAAATTTTGCGGTTATACGATAAGCTTACTTCAATAATGAGTGATGAAGCATATGAGATAACTGCTAACGCATGACGTCTATACTCATTTTTTGCTCCTAATGGACTATAGTCTGTAAATCAAACAGTAAAATGTATCAGAAAATGTTGTAATTTACTTGGTAGAGGCTAGCAGTGGAATCCACGACGTGCGTTCTATCCTGTTCGAGACTTATCAGCTGGATGTACCTGCACTTAAGTGAGTGATGGTCAATCAATTATAGGTACCAATAACTAATCCGAGAAAAACTTTGGAGTGTACGATCTTCCCTAGTATCTGATATTTTTAAGTGACTTTGTATATCTCTCCTTATTTAGTTGTGACTTATTGATCTATGCGATATACTTACAGCTGGTAGATTATGAGTCGAAATCCAACCCAATCTATTGAGGTATAGGCAGCTAGGTGGTTTCAGAAGCCTTAACACAACAAGTATGCCTCATTTCCTAGTACACAAACCCACATGTAGTCGTTGAGTCACAGTACATTTGTCTGTCACCAAGCCGAATGTTCACTCATAAGCACGGTTTTATGACATCCTGTTACAAATTCGTAAATTGAAATATTGATTTTATTCTAAGCTATTCACAGTAATATACTGAAGATATTCTGAAAGTATAAACACTTCAGAGAAGGAAAACATCAACAAAGTCATCTTCCTGACCTAAAAAGTAGTCTCCTTTATTTCGAAGTCTTACAAGCATCAAACGCTTCTTATCGTTCGAAAATTATAGGACTTTATAAAGAGGTATGCCTTCAAGAAAGCGCAAGGACCCTTTCCCCTCGAATCCCACATATATACCTTCGATCAACTATCCAATGAAGTGGAAGACAACTGAAATAAATTGAAGACGCATGATACAGCTGATGACCACTGATGCTCATTAACGGATTTAAAAATACCAACAGACTATTGATAGTCAAGACAGAAAGCTGGGAGAAATACTTGTTACAGGACACTATAACACTGACAACTGTAATAGAGAAATAAAGTAAGCGATAAAGGAGAAGAAATACTTTTATAAAAGGCACTTCACAAGATCAAGAAGTGACCGTGTAGTTGAATTGTCCCAATAACCTCTGAGACCGAAGCACTTCTTCAGAAAGGACTCAATTACAATAGAGAAGCTTCGAGACTAGGATTTGTCACTTTATTTTAGCCATCAAGGAAGACTTCAGGAATAAACAATGAAAGCCAATAGGAAACAAGATAAATTATCGTGCCGTTTACCAAATGCATGGGAAAATGTACCGAACCAGTGAGGAACATAAAGCTGTCAGGAGATTCAAGCATTAAAAACAAATATTTAAAGCTTCGGCTGGCAAATAGCATACGACACCACTCATACATAAAGACAATCACCTCTTGAGGTGGTTTTGGAAGGCTTGCTCATCGATCAAATCTATATCAACCAATTCAGACGAACCTTATCCAAAAGTTTGACGCTCACACTACCTAGACTTAAAGTTTTTCGAAGCAGAAAATGCTATAAAACCGGTGGTGAATGAAATATGATAAACCCATTCTTCGACTGAAGATACGTGAACTAAACATCTCCTCACGACTGTTTCATTTCCGCAGAATTAAATATACAGTGTGTCAAAGGAAATCGTTGGAAAGCTGAGGCATCTGGGAGAATCACGAGACTGCTTTGTCAACTCTTGGATAATCTTTGGATAAGATCAAGAATATTCACATTGAAAACGATGAGCAGATGGTGATTTTCGATGTTACAGCTCTATTCATCTCGAGTGAACCGAAATTGTCTAAGAATATAATGACTTTCCTCAACAATGATACACGTCTCTTGGATAACATACATCTAAAATGCTTACGTTTAATAAAACTGAGTTATTTATGTCTTACAACATATTTCCAATTCAGCGGCAAACTCTACAAACACACAAAAGAAACACCAAAGGGATTACCCATATCCCGGCTAACTGCAGGAATAGTAATGCAAAGATTGAAAACTACCGTCTTACCACTGATCAAACCAAAACTCTGAGTTCGATGTTTTCATCGTCAATAAAAGAAATGAGATGAAAAATGCCCACGAATTAATCAACGTTTTTGACGACGAAATTCACAATTTTGGAGGAATCCAACAATAAATTCTCATTTCCAGATCTTTTCATAACCAAAACTAATTTGGGGAAATTGGGAACCCAAGTATAAAAGAAAACTTACTTACACCGATCAATCCTCAACTAGAGTATCAACAATCTAATGACAAGAAATTAATTGTGTAACACATCAAAGTTCAAAAGAAGACACTATATTACATCACCTTAACGGCGAAAACTGCTTTTCAGAAGAACGGTTATCCACACAATCTCATAAAAATACCTATCAATTTCACAATCAATCAAAGTTAGCCCTGAAAATCAACAGATCGACTGTTTTATCATACATGAAAATTCCAACTAGATTACTAAAACCTTTGGAATTACTGTAGCCACAAAACCTACGAAATCTCTCTAGTCCATATTATGCAAAGAGAAAGACACAATTGAAAAGAAAGATGAGCCTAATGTTATCTACAAAATAAACCGTAGTAACTGCAAAAACACACTACATCGGATAGAGTGGCATATTTCTCCTTGTTTGCCTGCATGAACACCTAGCAGTGAAACGTTATGATAGATCTTTGCTCATACGAATCACACCACGATTAAACTATCCGGCTCATAGAATAAAACCACCAAAATTGTCCTCCTGGGTTACAAATATTCTTCATCATTTGTGAGTGCACAATAGTTTCCTCTTGAAGTACCAATTAGGTAATCAGAACTATGTAACAGCAATTTCACACTAAGTTAGCTCATAATAAAACAAGACAATGTATAATCTTATGCCATTTTCTAATGATCATAAATGAACAGATAGGAGCATTATTCTGCAGAAAAACACCAGTTGTTACAAAGTACTTATGCTGATCCGCAGATTTATCTGGCCAGACCAGATTGATCTTAGTATATATATACATATATATATATATATATATATATATATATATATATATATATATATATATATATATATATATATATATATATATATATATATAAGCAACTGTCTTCGCTGAATTTCTGTAGTTTCATGACTCAATGTAGATTCCCAAATGAATCAGGAAGTCTGCACTCCATCTTACAGCTGGGTTCAATGGACTATAAGATATAATTTTGCAGTACTGGATATTCTTTAAAGAATTCTTCTGAAACGCCGCGTCACAAAGTCACTAATAACATCACCTCGGAATTCAAGAAGACAGTTTCTTTAAGAATTATCATCATTCTTGGTTTAGTTTCCATTTCACTGAAATGCTTGGTCATGAATTTGGCTAGATATTCGTCCTTACTGAGTGGGTTATGAACAGTGCTCAGCTCTCCCCCCCCTCATGTAATATTATCATATTAAATGACTTCACTTATATTTGAGGGATAGAGAAACTAAAGTAATAGAAATACTGACCAGTCGGGATTGGCTTTTTGTATATTTGTGTTTCTTCTTTTTCCATGGTGAAGGTGACTGTCAAATGACCACAATTAAATTCTTGTCAACATCATCTTTAAGAAATATTAGAGTATAATGCATGTGACGATGATAAAATTTCAAATAGACTGACCACCAGTTTCAAGCAAGTAACCCTCAGTTTGGTGAGGAAAGAAATCTGCTGAGACTTGGCTTATTGCTGATGTCATAACTTCACCCTTTGTCGAACTTGTCGAACAGGATGCTTGCATTCACTGTGCTCCTAAGGCGAAGCTTTCCAGATGGGAGGCAGGAATTCTTATATTTCCGTCAAACTTAGTTCCACGTCTATATCATTTACTGCTTCGAATAAAAAGCATGAGTGAGTCTACATGAAACAACAACTGTACCATGGATTTACTATTTAATTTCAGACATTCAACTACTGCAACAAATTCAAAATAATTCACTTCTATGCAATTTCGGCAAATCATTAAGTCTATATGTAAGGATCTTTGTGTATATGAGCGTTTCTTGAATACTTCCTGAAACTAAGCCCTAAAAGTTTGACTTTTCTAGTAACTTCAAGTGCTTAGAGTCACTAAAAAAAGATAAGACTGTGGAGATGTGACTTATGAACCCTACTATCCGTCCCGGGTTCGAATGTGGCTACAACTGTTTCGGAATGGCCGCCAACTAATATCATAAACCCTCATACAACAAGTATGAAAACCTGTATTCCATTGAGTTAAGTCATTACTCTAGTGATTCTATTTGGTACCTCTCTACCTTTTCCGTCATGTTACAATCAGACACCATATTTAGAAATTCACTGGTCAGCATTCAATGTTAAGAATGGTAGTCCGAGTAGCCTGTATTACACATACTAGTCTATGTCTCTGTGAAGATCCAGTTTCTCTTTGAAAGCGTTAACCGAGGGAGTTACTACCATCGATAACCAGTTTGAGTCGCTGACCAGAGAATCTGATTCCCACTTACAGTTTACTCCACAGCAGCTTTGAAACATTCCGTGGTGACCCTCTAGATAATCAATCCTAGAGGGAGTTAAAAGATTTGAGGGATTAACAACTAAGTCGTTACTGAAGATACCATACGCTAACATAAGACCACCCTTTTCTTACGATAAGACAATGGGGATTCATGCTTTCTAACCGCCCTTTATAGAAAAGGTCCGAAAGTCCCGTCACTAACTTAGTACTCTCTTTGTCCACCCGTTCCAGAGTGTCTTTTTCTTCCTTGAAGCAAGGGCTAGCTATCAGTATGAAATATTCAAGGTGAGATCTTAAGCAAGTACGATTTAGTATCCTAACTCTTTGTGAAACAAAGCGCTTAAAGACTCTATGGAGCGAACATAGCAGACAGAATGCTTAAGCTGCAACTCTGTCAGTGTGCTGTTGTTTTCAAGTAGTGGCCAATAATCACCCCTAGATCCTTTTGTTCCTTAACGAAGGATAATATAGAGCGCTAACCTATCCTCATTATTAGGAGCAAGCCTCCAAACTTTAACGTTATCCGTAAATATCAGGGATGATGATTTAAGCATACCTGGAAACTCAATATAGAGCAGAAACAAAAGAATCCCTAGTACTGTGTCCTGGGGATCTCCACTAGTAACTGGTTCCCACTCAGATACTACTCCACTTACTCTGACACTTTGCTTCCTATCATGCAGGTAATCACCGAATCACTTTTGCATGTTGACGTATGTACCGAAACCTGTGAGTTTCTACAGCAAGTCTAAGCGGGACAACTTATCAAAGGTCTTACTAAAATCAATAAACAACACTGACGAGTATTAGGCAGGAGCATACGGTTCCAAAGACGTATTCCTTCTGTGCCAGCAACCCGCGTGTTTCTCTACAGGACCCAGTAGTTTGTCCCTTATCATTTTTCTCCGATTATACAAACCCAATTGACGGGGTGATAGTAGCCAGTTGCTTACTGCTAACCTTTAGAAAGGGAACACCCCCCCCCCACTCTCTAAGTAACTCAAACCAGGATAGAAACAAACGAAACATTTCCGTAAGCAGTTCGTGGACACTGTCAATCCAAGTCAATAACAGTCCAGGGTGGAAACCGTCATGACCCGGTTACTTAAGAGGCTTCATATTATTCAGTAATCTACGCACCACTTCATTATCCACCGCATTTAGTTTTTTAAGGACCTCAACAGCATATAACATGCATGCTTGTCTACCGAAATGATCGTATTGGAATATTTCTAAAGGTTTTCTGCTTTCTCCACCCCCAATTCCGCTTAGATGCCCGAGTTCTTATTAGTAAGTAAAACGGGTATTCCATCGTACCTCTTGTCACTGAGTCTAATACTTACATTTACTGAGACAGGCAGTGCAGCCATATGCCAGCTCCTTTTCATATCCAATGCGATGTTTAGTGATATCACACAAAAGTTCCGAACTTTGTGGTACTCTAAGTTAAGCGAGCACAATCCTTTAGTATAAATAGATCCTAGTATTACTTCCTCCTCTTAAACAACCCTCGGATTTGGTTATCTATCCAAGGTCTCTGATGAAAAAGCCTTTATGCTATTGACCAAAAAATGAAAGATGTAACAGTTTCAAATGTCTACAATCCCCCCCCCAAGCCTCTGCGTTGAAAACCTAGTTTGATGAGGCTGGAAAATCCCTAATCGCCATCAAGTCTTCTTGCCAAAATATTTGCTCATGCTCCGGGTCAAAGAGCGTAGGTACTGCTACATTTTGCACCAGAGCACGCTCGGAGAGTTAGCGGCAGCTCAACATCAAAATAGCTATATGGACGTATAACTGTGAGCTGCTTCCAATCGACATTCATAACTCACTATTAAGCACCTATTGCTAGTCTCCCACTTACACAGGTAGCCTAACAATTAGGACTACGATATATATCTGCGGCAGTCCCTAGCCTGGTCTTAACATTCTAACCTGCTTTTTCACATGTCCCACTGGCATACGCTTCTGACAACGTAGAAGATACTCTTGTGCCACCGCGCTTACGACTGATGGCTGTCAGTCCTTATGCAGGTAAATCCAGACAAGTGGTGTAAGGTCAACACCAGCTTCTAAACATGTTACCATCATTGTTATCACGTCAGGCTTTAAATATTCAACACAATCTGTGGATACATAAAGTGCATTCCTAAGGCAAAGGGAGTTAGTGCAACATACCTCTATGCTGTCTGTTAGTGCGACCCACTCATGACCATCTTTCTCGGCAGCCAATGTTGCCGACACCTTCCCAAGCAAAAATCCAACATTTTTTAAGTTTCTTGTCATCAGTCAAGCAATAGCTTCCTTTCTCCTTATCTTGTCCTCAAGCAGCTAATTAGGAAGTACTTACATTCTTATTCCTAGCCTTATGTGATTTTTTCAGACTTCATGTTCTTCGTGAGTACCCGACAACTCCAAAGACGCCGTGTATAAACAACTTTATGAGCTCTGTACCTATTCTTCACACATTGCTGACTAATACTTCTATAGGAGACTGTGGTAGGTATTTTTGCGCTGACCAACAACTTGCAAGTTGTAAGTCTATCATCTAGACGAGTTTGGATCTGACGACTCCTCCAAATTTTAAATATTAAACTAGCCTTTATCCCTAGCTTTAGATTAGATACAATAGTTACAGCCTCAGGAGCCTGCTTAATACCTTTGTTGCGAACATTTGATTGTTTATTGGCTTCCTCTTTTTCTTAGAAATATCAAACTACATGGAATGGGGTGCCTCTATGCTATCAGTGGCATAATTTTGATTTATCTCTTGAGGTAGATGTACCGGGACCGTTCAATGGTGCACCGACTGAACGTACAGAACCTTTAGCTGATTTCCTGCCTCTTAGGCTTGTATAAGGAAACGAGAACAGGTGTTTGCACACTTGATGTTAATGGGGCACTTATTTTGTCCATATAATCCGTCATACCAATATCTTCGGCTGATTCTCATTTACCTTAAGCTTGCGTACGATTTTTTCTCCTTGTCCGACTGTCAAAATGCCTCCTGAAATGTAACCAAAGCTTTGAAAAAACAGGCAGAAAACACTTTTAAATAGCACGTAATCCAGATTACTGGAAGTGCGTACACACTTATTTGAATTCTGCAAGAATATTATCTCTACGGTTGATTTTACAAAGCTCCGATCAGATTGACACGCTTACTTTCTTCCCTAGTACAGAAGACTTTACAAACACCACGGACTTCATGACGTCACACTGTTTGTATACAAGTTCACTTCACCATATTGACATATGTGCGCACCTGTGATTAAACTCAAAGTCAATATTATATACTTCTGAAACAGCTATCGAGGGTCAGAGGTATGGTTATTAGACTCTCAATCTTCAGCTGATTTTCAATCCTTATCCACCTGAAAATGTTAGACCCAGGCAAATGATGCGGATGCTAAACTAGTTTACGTCCCTTACATAGCATAAGTCAAAAGTCCTATATGCGACGACTAACTAGACACTAAATTTGCATGTCTCACATTACTTTAATTTACTACAGACAAAAGTGCAACAACCAACTCAAGACCCGGTCAGATGAATGGACCCCTTGATGAACAAATTCGGATGCAAGATAAATCTTCAACCATAATATTGCCATTTGCCTCACAACTATAAATACTCTCAACCCAGCATCGTTCAGACGCTTAGACACACCGCTCTTTTAACCCCCTTTCTTAAATATATAAAAAGTATCAATTAGACGGAGTAAACCTCTTTAGGACAACTGCTGTTAATTTAGCGGAATAAAGATGAATGTACATACTGAGTCCGTAAATCAAAACGGTCCATAATAAGTATCAGCTAAAATCGAAAGCGTTTTCGAATTTAATATTCCCACTTAGGCTAATGCTTGTTAACGGCAAACTTCGCTACACAATGATGCTCCCCCCCCCTATCATTTTTTGCATTAATGCACTGAAAGATACCTCCCACGAACAAAAGTCTTGGCACTTCGATCATCATTCTGTTTTACAAGAGATAAAATACGATAATTATACAGATGGACTTGTGCGAATTGAAAAACTTTGACCAACAGTACAGTACAAGGCCTTATTCACTGCAGTCAACCCATACAACTAAAACGTCTGAAAACTCAACCTTTCGCTGTTTGTAAATCAAACAAGCGGGCTAAAGAAAATCTGCATCAACTACGTAGAAACATCTTGTAAGCTACAACTGATAGTATAACCTTGCAGCAAAGCATAAGAATTACCACTCAAGAGTTACCTTTGAGAAACTAAGGGAGACAGTCATATGACTACAGCGTTTGCCTGAATTTCTTAAGAGGAAAGTTACCTGTGCGAACGGCATTGGCTACCTGTTGACGTTACAACTGAGAGCCACCAGGTTATTCATAGATAACTGGTTTTAAATGGAAGAAAACAATGCTTTTGTCCCACAAAAATGATATGAAGCCAGCTACCACTGAAGTCAGAAATGAAGTTTCTAGGAACTTAAGTGCATATACAGTTCAGTGTCAAACCAGCTTCTCGCCGTCACAGTTCTTGAGTGGATATTACAAGACGATGCTGAACATTTGTATGTTTCGGCTAACAATCACGATACCAAACCCGTTTCACAAATAAAAACATTCCCGACACTTCAACTACCTAACTCTAGGTCACTGGGTTGCACCACAAGCCAACAACTTAAGAATAAGCCCAGGAGGACTGCAGTTGTCATGTCAGGAGAAACTAACTAATATACCACCCAGAAAACCTTTGAAAATCTCCAAAAGATTGGTACACGCGAACAGGAAGAAAGAACTAACAACTAGTGCTGGAATGCATCTGATAGCTTGTTTCTGGTGCATAAGCCTATGTAACCAGTACCAACCATCTCCTGCACTGAAAGGTGCTATGCAGAATGCAACAGTTACTCACAAGTAATTATGAGTAGCGTCTAGTGTGACTGAAGAATAACTGCATACGCTTTCCGAGAAACATTTAACTTAGCGACAAGGAACTACATAATTTATATGACCAATGAACCTCAACTAGGCGTATGATTATGTACTAGGCTAAGCCACACCATACTATGTTTTGACTAATTCAACATGCACACAAACGATGGTGGAAGTCGCTACTTAGTTACAGCCTGTCTTAAACACTCCTCTAGGATTGAAAATATTCAACAAATGACTACACTGAGATTTTAGGGGACGACTGTTAACACCAACCGCTCAAAGTGATAAGTAGTTGTATTAAGGATGACGGCTGTACTGCGATTACCTGATACGTCTTAAAACGAAAAAAGACGATATTCTTCCCGACATATATGTATTCATAGATGCTTACATAGGTCTACCTCTACCATAACCCCCACGGAAATGAACTTCACTATCACCCATTGCTGCATCTTTTCCTGGGGTCCCAAAGCCAGTCATACCAGGAGTGACAGGTCCTCTTCTGAATGCAACACGACCATCAGAAGGACCGCGCTGTCCACCTTGATCCATTCCTTGAGCTGGTGCTCGGATATCTCGTGGTGGGGCTTTCAATGTTGCTGGAATGATGTCTGAAGGAAGGTGCAAAACCTAGAAAATATAATAAGACGAGCTATCTCACCTCGCGCAAGTAATTAATTCCATCAGTTGTAAGAAACCAGTAGTATGTTCTCCATGCATACTGTTCCCGAACGTAACCCCGCGACTTAAGTGATCGCATTGTTTTGATCACGTATAGGTTACGGACATTAATTGTGGGATGATTATAGCACGGTCGAAGATCATTTCTTGCCGTCAATACACCGTCCTGAATAACCTTTTCAAATATACTATTTCTGGTTGCGATTGGCAGGAGCATTATACCAGAATCCACACAACCTGCGAAACACGCGGTAAGACTGAGAACTGAAGTGGCCGCGGCGAAAAATGCACAGTGCGCTAAACAAAAGGCGTAACTTTTAACTTCTAGATTCAAAGCCATTTCGTGAGCGTGAAGAAACTTTTGTTTCCTTAAGGTTGATATTTCCTTCAGCAAGTATCCGCTAGATATTCTCTTATGGTTTCCGCGGGAGAATGGCAGTTAAAGTAAATTCCAACTTATTAGTTGACTGTCTCACAAACCTAGAATCGCTGGGAAAGTTCAGTCATTTCAGATTTACAACACGGGGTCAGATTGTCGGCTGAAGTTTCAGGTTTAACCCTACCCTAGGATATCAGCGGAGAGAGCTGAAGCTACACCACTTGGGTGGTAGTTTTAAATTTAAGCTCTAATTATGATTTCCTGAACTTCAGACCTCAATTGTTGTCATCTTCTGTTGCTCACTGGGTTTATTGTGGCCCATCTTGGACAGAACTAGTACACGGTACCAGGGAATTTTTGTTCCCAAATATAGGATTACTAGCTTGTCTTAGATCAGCCTACATTCGGGGGGGATATACTTAGTATCGAATCCTCTTATCATGGTTGGCACTGCAGAAACCTCATAGCATCCCAATGGCCCTCTTTTGAGTCTTTTTCAGTTCGATTTTGCTTCTGATCATGTGAGGTCGGCAAACGGCATGTTGGGGAACTGAAGTTGATTGTAAGCACTCCTAAAGCGAAATTGGCTTTCTCAAAACCTGCAGATATTTGGACAAGGATAATACAACTGACCGACACCAAAGCTTCTGGATCACGATCTTCAGTGGCACTCAGAGAAAACGCTATTGCATGGAGTGCATTTCCGCCCCACGGGGCACGTGATTCACGTCTCTGCGCCAAGTTCTGCTAAATTGTAGGTGTCTTTCCGCCGGCAACTCAACTACTTGTGTTTGGTTTCCCCTTAGTGTATTCCATTCGTTCATGTTATGGATTGCCTTCTTATCCGCAGACATCACTGATAGTGGCCAAAGAACCTTCAGCAGTTCATCGGTTTAAACTTTAAACAGCGAAAGGCCGAGTAGAAGGCCTCATAAGAAAGTGCCGAACTACTCAGCAATCCCTGACTTTCACTTTGAACTGGCTATCCCCTAGGCAGAGAGAGTGCCGTGGTCACCCCCGATGGAAGCCGCTAGCAAATAATTTAGACGGAAGACGATGAGGATCATCCCTGTCCAAAACCTTACAAAATTCATTCAAAGCTGTAAATCCCTATTCGTTTCTATATAATGTAGATGTCCATAGGCCGAGTGACACGAGCGAAGATGTCATACAAAACGGCCTTTGTGAAGCCGCATAATCCTATCCCAACTTAATATGTATGCACATATCTTTCTTCCACAATGGTAGATAGACTTCAGTCTGTACTCTGGACTAGACGAAATGAAATGGAGCACTCTCCAGTGACCATTCAATGCTCTGATGTCTTGTGTGACCACAAAGCTGAAGTTTTTGGCCTCCTTAGTTCTTTCCAGGCCGAAAATGACTTTCAGCCCGAGGTGTAGACCGAACTCGCAGTGTTTGCTTCATCAGGCTGTGTGGTTATTTAAATTATTCTGCAGTTCAATTGGCTTGGGAAAGGGTTCGAAAATGCCCATTTCACGACGTTTCTGAAGCATAGTTGTTAGGCAGACTCCAAAATTCTCAATGTTCGTTTCTGCTACCGATTCCCGGAATATATTATTCAGGAAGACCAGGAGTAAGTGTAAACGATTTCCCTAAAGTTTTGCCACCGTCTCCCAGTACTGCCCCGATTATCGACGTGAAGAATGAAGTCCGATTAGGTAAATGTCCCCACTGTTTTCAGAGAGAAAGTTAATGGTGATGCAAAGTAGGTGACAGGTTTCCTACACAACCATGCAGTTCAGCCTTAGAGGGGTTTCCTGCTTCATCAATACATTCGTAGTTTACACTAACAAGTATGACAGTTTCAGCGCTTGCTCTTGCAGCCAGCGGTGAGTTCCAGTAACAATACAACGGTTTTATTGATCTTCACAACACGCCTACAGAGTCGCACGGAAGCCCTTCGTGTGAATTTCTCCACCGTTAAGTTCTATCAGGTTTGGAATTACCTTCCTATTGGATTTAGGGCCTCTGCATCAAACCCTAAATTCAGTCGGTCACTAGGTAAATTCTTTCCCCTGACAGCTTCACCAGGTTACTGATTGTACCATCGTGTTCCTCTGTGACACTAAATACAATAAGCCCTGCCGAAGAATGCTATTTCTCCGCCTTGTAGCAGGACCTCTACACTGTATTCTTCGACATGTATAACAATGAATGCTTGTTCGACTGTCCTGACATGGAACTTTCTGTCTTCTTTCTGATCGTTTGGAATTTCTTGACTCGTTGTCAGTCCGGATTTTGCTCCACTCTACCTCCTGTTTTCACACTGTCTGGTGAAGGTGGACCAGCAGTGTTTAAGACAATTAGAGAAGTGACGGTGACTTTGCATAGAGGTTTACATCAGGTGCGTGTTCGACAGTCAAGGTGCTAAGTGAGTGACCCCCTTTAGAAATGTCGGCTGTGGCCTAGAGGAAAACAGTGAATGACCAATCACAGATGGTGAGGTATGACTTCCAGTCCCAGCCTAGCGACCAGTGGACACCTGGACAATGTGGACGCCACTATCTGGAGCATGGAAGCTGAAAACGGTGCCAAATTCCTGAACACCACTTGTGGCACTTCAAATGCCATCAGAAATTAATGCTAGCATGTAGTATCCACACGACTTCAGGCAACAGCCACCTTTAAACTTTCAAAATAAGTCGGTATAACAATAATCATAATAATTTATCCCTCAATTTACAAGTGCATATCATCTTTACAGATACGGTCATAAGAGTTAGTGGTGCAAAATCTCCGGTAGTATTTTCTTTTACAAAAAAATCTTGTACCATTTTTTCATTCCAGGTAGTGGGAATTTCCAGTCTGAGGAAAAAAGAAAACTTCACACCACACACAAATGGTGCACCTTAATCTAAATTCAGAATTTTTGTCATTTTTAATTTATCTGGCAGAAATGATAGTCATATCTGACGAATATGTAAAATCATTGCTCAAATAGAAGGGGAAGTAACTCAGCAATTTCTTGCCCGAAAAAAGTAATACTGGCTAGATTACTGAAGTGCTTTAATTTGGAGGATCATATATATTGAGCGAAGTACGACGGCAGATTCAATGCGTTTTTCAAAGGACATGCATCTCCGGGTCCACTGTAACGTCAAGATATACTGTATAGACAACAATAAGTAATAGTGATAACAATATATTATCTTCCTGATGAAACGATCTACTTTCGTCTGCTCATGCTAAATTGGACATATGTCCATAGTAGCCGCCACACTGCCCTGCGTTGAGCTCAGTAGCTCGGTGAATAGTTGCCACGTTCCTTTGAGTTTCGGGGCCGATCGAAAAAATCCGTTTCTGTGGATGAGGTTGTAAGCATTTTTCCGTATTTGTGTATGCTGCCTACAGCTACAATGGACGAAATAGCGCCAGTCAACGAAACAGTGGATTAATAAATGTCAAAAGGCCTCCCAGCCAGCATTTGCTCCAGGCGCACTTTGTAACTTTCAGGCAAAAACCTTACAATTTTGCTTCGGGTGCATTTAGGGCGACGCACGAAATCCCCCGAATGTTCCAAACCTTTTCCCCGAAAGTGTCAAAAGTCCCAAAGTGCGCCCTACGTTTAAAAACGTTTCACGCTCATCAAACGGCATGTGAAAGTAGTAAGTATGGAACCAAATTTATACTGTGACAATGAAAAATACAGATTACTTTTCTTAGATTCATTGCACCTCGTTTACACGCTCTGGCGAACTCGGTAGCCGAGTGCTACTCGAGTATGTACAGACGAAGATAGAGACAACCTCACCATCTTCGGGCAATTCAGTCACTTATTTTACTTGTATTAGGGAACATATAAAGCTTGTCGTTTTGCTTTTTTTCGGCCTTTTAGCCCTCATCTTTACTCGGTCGCGACTGTTACGAAATCACCTTTGTATATGAGTCTGCATTTTCTGGGCATTCACCTCTTGGTTGTCGCTCCCATGCCTGTGGATGCCAAAAAGGACGTCTTCGTACGTGATAAAATTGAAACGATCACTTACTGAAAATAATTTTAGACATTAGTGTCTTCTTAAAAGGACGCTTGTCTTGCTTAGAGGACCATGAGTCCAGCATTCCGAAGTTTGGCTCCAGTAGCGTACCCATGATGCGCCGGGCGGAGACATCGACATCTGATTCAACGAGGCAGGACAACGCCTGCGCTACAGAATCTCGTTTTACCGGACCAGTCATATCCTGTACGAATTCTTGCATTCGCAGGTCGCTACCAATAAGCCATTTTCCGGATACTTTGAGTCTCTCGGAAGAATCCATTGATGCGACCTGCTTATGCAAGGAACTCTGTTCCATTAAGCTAGCAGTCATTTTTCCGTTCTTTCAAAACGTTCAGAAATGTGATAACAATTGGCTGAGCATTCCACAGCATCCGTTTGTACTCCGACGTTTTTGATACTACTGTAACTAAAGTGAGAGTAGAAGGTGAACTTACGTTCCAGAATTGACAATGGTCCAACTTGGTGAATCTTGTGCATGTATAGAGTGACTGCTGCAACTCGATTAACCTTAGCAGTTTATATCACCTGCCGGAGGAGGAACCGGCGAAAGGCTTTCTGAATATGGTTGAACTAAAATCTGGGCCACCATCTTCCAGAATTCGTGAGGGATGATCTGCAGGCACACCCGTTGCAAGTACTTTCGCCTTGCAGACGATGCCACTGAAAGAGAAGTTATTGTAAATAATACACTACCGGTTAAGCCTGACATTGCTGGCTGGCTCAGCATCCGATGTTGGTACATCTTTTGGACTGCTATGCAGCCTTGCGAAACCTGCACAGGCCTCGCGAGCCTTACTGATGTTGTCTTTGACAGTC